CCATCCATCCATCCATCCATCCATCCATCCATCCATCCATCCATCCACCCATCCATCCCTGGACAGTCCGCCAAACTTTTGCAGGGCCACTTACAAGGACAAACAACCACACACACCCACAGAGGGCAATTTGGAATGTCCAATCAACCTAACATGCAGGTGTTTTGACTGTGCGAGGTAGCCAGAGAACCCAGAGAGAACTCACCGAGACACAGGGAGAACATGCAAACTCCACACAAAAAGCTCTTGGGTCCCCCGGGACTCGAACCCCAGAACATTCTTGCTGTGAGGTGACGGTGCTAACCGAGACCAAGATTAGCTATACAATATATTATGAGGTACTAAGAGACACTTAAAATTAGATTTTTTACCCTTAGTGTGAGTTACAAAAATTCAAACACTTTCAGTCTGACTTCTGAAGAGCTGTGAAAGAGAAATCTAGTGTTCTGATGGAGTGATAAAAAATCTCTCTCCAGCGGATGAAGAGGATCTGAAACTGATGTCCTTAAGGAAAGCAAAGAGCTGAATCAGGAGCTCAGAGATGCATCTGGACCTTCAGCTGATCCTTCTCCTGTTGGCCCAAGCCTCATCAGAAATGCTCTTCTTGGAAGGAGGGCGAACATGGCAAAAACAAGGCTTTTAAATGACATAAAGAAAAAGCCAAAGCAAGGCTTAAAATGACCGAAACATACACCTAGAGAGCAAAAGCAAGGCTTGAAATAATCCACTAAACAGGAACAAATGCAAATATAGAGCTAAAAAGACCTAAACCCAAAGCCAAAAGAAGCTAGTTACAAAGACGGAAACAAAGCTAAAACAGAACTAAATGTATTCCTGTCAGTTATTTAACAGCAGCTAAACCTTCTAGAGTTCCCACAGTGGGTCAGAAACTAAATGAAACCATTTACCCAACATGTGGATGTTTTCTGGGAAAACACAGGGTGGAAAGGCTGAGCTCTGCCAAAGGACACAAGAAGTGGACTGAAAATCAATGGAGGGATGAATCCTCACTCCTTTAGGTTTGTTAATATCCCAAAAGAGCAAAACAAATTTAAAATGACCAAAAATACAACAACAAAGCGAACATAGAGATAAAATGACCAAATATACACCAAAAATGCAAAAACAAAAGCTAAAAATGACCAGAAAAGGGCTTCCGAGATGAAAGAGACAGGACTTCAGAGCAGAGAGAAAGCTTTAAACAACCTTTAAAACTACAGCAGTTATCGGGCAGCTTTAGTTTACTTTTTCCAGGAGCAACTCATTGAAAACTGTTAATATAATCATAAAAAAAGGGGTTAAAGTTATTTTAAGATGATTTAACTTATATCCTCAAAACTCGCATTCTTTCTTCCCTTTTTCAATAAATCCATCCAATTTGATAATTTCTGAGAACCATTATGACTCATTTAGATTTTAGTTTCACTTTAAATCTGTGTGTTTATGTTTAGGTTTGACCATATTTCAGTATCAGCATGTTTTCAGGGGTTTAACTGATATTTAAGGGAATTAAGAATAGATCTTAGACAGGACTGTATTTTAACGTGATTGCGGTTAAAGAGGCTTTCATTTAACCCATAACAACCCTCAGTGACAATGGAGTCACAGCATAATTAAAATGATATACGTTTATTAAAAGTGGCCAATGGAACTTTTGGAAATCACTTTGACGAATTTCTTATTTTTTCATTTTAGTGATAAATCGGGTTCATTTGGTCAGTTTTTTTCTCCATTCCCTATAATTTCTCTTTAGGGAAAAATGGATCTGGGCTCCCATGAGTTAATTCATCTAAAATCCATTCAGACCAAAAATGAGCTCATCAAAAATGAATCTCTCCTGCTGTTGGTCATTTGTGGAAAACCCAAACTGACACACTGCTGATTCTATTACAGCTGCTCTAAAACACACTGACAGTGATAATCTGACTTCCTGTTTCACACAATCAGACATGAAGACTGAATTCTCAAAAAGCATTTGTTCTAAAGCAGAGACTCAAATGGAAAACAACATCCTTCACATGTCAGTTTTTTTCTTTGGTTTTAAATACAGGAATGATATATTAAATTCAACTTTCATTTCATTGGACATAAGAGTCCCTTTAAATTAGTTATTTGGTAAAAATCATTGAAAACTCACTGACCTCTTCGGCTTTCAAATGCAATCAGCTCCATCGCTCCTCAGCAGGCTGAATAACCTCCAATAAATGCAGAAAAGCAGGAAAACTGCAAACAAATATTCAAAATCTCTAATCCTGCTGTGACAAAACTAATAAATTAACGTAAATAATGCACAAAAAAGCGATTTTCGTCTTACCTGACGACAAATATCACCCCTCACACCTGCTGAACCTCAGCTCAGTCCCACATCTTGGCTTTTAGGGAGCAATGAGACTTTTTCTGGTTATAATGACAAACCTGTGACCTTAATTAGATCAAATTACATCAGATCCTTTTATTAAAATGCACCAAGAAAAGAGAAAGAACACCAAAGGGACTCATTTTAGTTTCCTTTGAGGCATCACAGAGAGAAAACACAGATACATAATTGTCTGTCGCCATGGTACCAAACATCTCATTTAAGGTCCTCGTTAAAGATTAAGTCCTCCTTTAATTGCTTGTGTGGTGGAGATGGAGTCGGTGTGGGGGTGCTTTCCTCAGAACACAAGGCTGGAAAGAACGAATGCAAATCAATAAAACAAGCAGCACAAGTCATAACATTTTCTTTACACTATCAAGGATTGCTTCCTGATGGTTTTCTGCTCATCTACATGGTTAACAGGATCAAAATGCTGGACGAAAAAAATAATTTAAGAAGAAAGGCCAACTCAACTGTTCAGACTGAGCTGGACTACATTATTTTTAAGATTTCATATCATTAAAAAGACCTTATCAAGACAGTTTTTAGGCCTCATCCAGCCAGTTTTTGGCCACTTTTTAGGCCTTATCCAGCCAGTCCTGAGAACCTAAACTGGCTTCAGACAGCTGGGTTAAATTAAGCGCATCCCCATGGTGCTCCTCCCACAGCTTGGTTAGTAAAAGCAGTGCCTGTCCCAGGAAGGAAGAGAATACAATGGGCCCTACTTTGACTTTCTTCCTAATGTTCATTCTTGAAAACTAAAAGTCCTCCTCCACTGATTTCCCACATTTCTCAAAAGCTTGAGTTTCCCCTCCGACATCCACCTTAGTGGGAAATCAGGCCCACGAGCCTCTTGCTTCAGTTTAAATACACTGTTTTGTCTTTTTAGACCCCACAAGAGCACTCAAACCTTAACACAGACCTTAACGTTTGTCTCTGTTTAGTTTTCTTTGAGTGAGGTGAGTGTCTGTGGTTTTTCAATATCTCTATATTGTCTTACCTTACAGAGCGGATGGAAAACTACACATTTGATGGCCTCCTGTTTAAGCTGCAGGGCCTACAGATCAGCCCGGCCAACCGATACCCAGCTTTTATCTTCTAAGGTGTTTTTCTTCATTTCACCTGGTTCTCATTGATGAAAGCATCGTTATAGGCTATTACTCCACAGATCCATGCTTTTCTTTTTTTATTTTAGTTGAATCTCTTGATGATCCAGATTAGGGTGACCATATTTTGATTTCCAAAGAGGAGGACACTTTGCCCAGCCTCAAGCCGAATTCAGACAGACTTCTCAGATGTTAATGAACATGCTTTATTAATATTTCAACGGTACAAAAATAACTTGGGTGTTAAAACACAATCTGTAACAACCAGTAACAAAATTGTAGCCCTCTGTGAAGTCATGTGAAGCTACACTTTCGTTTTGGCATTTTTTCGCCAATGCTGGTTGCTCGGCTCCCTGTGTGTGTCTCGCTTCACCCTCCCACAAAGCAATTATTTGAGAATTGCACCAAAGTACCGTAGTATTTATATGACAGGATATAAAAAGTGGACATGTCCGGGCTAAAGAGGATGTTTGGTCATCCTAATGCAGATACAGTCCAGCCTGAATATATGGTTTACAAAAAAAAAAAGCCAAATCTGTGCTGATGTTTTGGAAATGAACTAGAGAAACTGGCATTATGTCGTGCTGGACAGAAAAAGTTCTTTCAGATCTGAATGAGTTTACTCACATTACATGACTTCCTCATACCTGGATCAGGGTTTTCCCAGCAGATGTGATCATTATAAAAAGCCCCATGGGCAGTTTTTATCAGAGAAGACATGTACATAGCTGCTGCTGGTTATCATGGCTTTGCAGTTATTGAACGCTCGTACTTAGAAAGGGTAAACGAATACCGGGCTGGTAAAGGCTTTAATTCAGAGGAATTTTATTTTAACGGGTTGTTTATTCTTATCAGAGACAGACTTTAGGGGCTTTCTTTGACTGATGCATTGGTCATTTAATGGTTTTGTGGTTTTAATTTAAGAGCGAATTGTATTCTAACAAGTTGTTTATTCTTATCAAAAACAGACTTTTGGGGCTTTCTTTTACTGATGCATTGGTCATTTAATGGTTTTGTGGTTTTAATTGAAGAGCGAATTGCATTCTAACAGGTTGTTCATTCTTATCAGACTGACTTCAGGGTGGCTTTCTTTGACTAATGCATTGATCATTTAATGGCTTTGAGGTTTTAATTAATAGGGAATCATATTCTAACAGGTTTGTTTATCTTTTCAGACAGAAATTAGGTGGCTTTCTTTGGCTGATGCATTGGTCATTTAATGGTTTTGAGGTTTTAATTCAAGAGGGGGTCGTATTCTAACAGGTTGTTTAATCTTATCAGACAGGCTTTCGGGGCTTTCTTTAACTGATGAATTGGTCATTTAATGGTTTTGTGGTTTTAAACGTTTGTCTCTGTTTAGTTTTCTTTGAGTGAGGTGAGCGTCTGTGGTTTTTCAATCTCTCTATATTGTCTTACCTTACAGAGCGGATGGAAAACTACACATTTGATGGCCTCCTGTTTAAGCTGCAGGGCCTACAGATCAGCCCGGCCAACCGATACCCAGCTTTTATCTTCTTGCTCTGCAGCTACCTCTTCATTCTTGTCGCCAATGTGGGAATTGTAATTCTGATCTGGTCTGAGAAGAGCCTCCACCAGCCTATGTACATCCTGTTTTGCAGTTTGTCCATCAACGACATCATGGGCAACTCGGTCCTGGCCCCGCGGTTGCTGGCAAGTATCGTCGTGCCCCCCCCCGAGCTGGTCATCAGCTACTCTGAGTGTGTGCTGCAGGCCTTTGGTGCACACATGTATGGCATAAATTCGCACACAGTGCTGATGGTCATGGCCTTCGACAGGTATGTGGCAATCTGCCAGCCGCTGCGTTACTCTACCATCATGAATGACAAAATGATAGTGAATCTGATCGCTTCTACCTGGGGGGTGGGCTTTGTCCTGGTGGGGATCCTGCTGGGTCTGACCCTGAGACTGACCCGGTGCAGTAACCAGATCACAAACCCCTACTGTGACAATGCCTCTCTGTTCAAGCTGTCCTGTGAGGACGCATATGTCAACAACATCTATGGGGTGGCCTACACTGTGGTGCTGCTCTGCTCCTCTATCGGCAGCATCGTCCTCACGTACTCTAAGATCGCAGCGGTCTGCCTCACCAGCAAGAGCCAGGCCCTGAACAGCAAGGCCCTGAAGACATGCAGCACCCACCTGAGCCTGTACCTACTCATGCTGGTGAGTGGGATCGTGTTCATCACCATGCACCGCTTCCCCCACCTGGCAGAGTACAGGAAGGTGTCGGTGGCGCTGTTCAACGTGGTTCCCGGCTGCCTCAACCCCGTCATCTATGGGCTGCAGTCCCAGGAGATACAAGCATGTCTGTCCAACATGTTTAGGCTGAAGAAGGTCAAGCCAGCCATCTGACCTGGGTTACCAGCCAGGATCGTTCGTGTCCCCGATCATGCATGTGGCCACCAAAGAGCTCTGAGGTGGCTTCATTAGATCTGTTAAGTTCACTTAGAAACAAAATGCAGTATTTAGAGTTTGTTTGCCAAGAATTAAAACAGGATAGAGACGTTAAAAGAGACAGCAAAATAGGCTGTGATCACATGAATTAGGTAGGCAAACAAGTACATCAGGCAGTGATCGCATGAATTGGGCACAAAAACAGAAAATCACATGAATTAGTCAGAAAAACAGGTTGTGATCACATAAATTGGAAAGAAAAACAGAAACAGGCTGTAATCACCAGAAATAGGCAGAGAAAAATAGCCCTTGATTACATGAATTAAGCAGAAAAACAGAAAATCACATGAATTAGGCAGAAAAACATGCTGTGATCACATGAATTAGGCAGATAAACAGGCTGTGATTGCATGAATTAGACAGAAAAACAGTCTGTGATCGTATGAATTAGGCAGATAAACAGGCTATGATTGCATGAATTAGGCCTCTTAGTGATATTTAAAGCACCCATGTCTGTGCAGAGCTGTAATCTATATCATGTATCATTTAATTTGTCCTCTTGATTGTTCAAACTTCTCAATCTATTTGTCTGTGTTGTGTTTGAAAAGTATTACTGTCATGAGAGTGATTCAATGTGTGAAACTGACAGAAATCAGCTTCTTCCTTCCACATAAAGCAGTTGTCAACATATTAATTCAGTCACATAAAACATCTGCAAGTATGAAAATGTCCTCGGCGTCTTTCTTTGAATGAACTGATGAATGTTTCTCTAAACTTGCGACTTGCACAGGACAAAACCTGCTGTTAATCTGCTGCTTCTTCTCACTCAGAATTGCAGAATTTACTGTCCAATCAGAGGCCTGCAGTCTGCAGAAATTCAAAGTTTGGACTTCAGTTGTGAAATCTTCCTTTTAAATAAATTATAAATTACATTTCTGAATCAAACAAGACTCCTTGATTGTAAGGACTGTGAGACAGTGTCTGTGGGGGGCTTTAAACCTCCTGAGGACCAAAATGAGTCCCGCTAGGCTCTCTGTGAAGTACCTACAGAAGGCCTGAACTGATCTGGTCCTGCCGCAGACTGAAGGGGGGTAACTGCCTCTCCCCAGCAGGCACTGGAATTTTGAGCTGAACACAGAAGGAAAACTGGGCTCCATTTCTGTCTGCAGCTTCATGACGAGCCAAACCAGACAGCAGTAACACCAGCCGAGCACCTGGAATCTGGAATCGGCTCCCAGAGAAGGGTCCTGCTTAGCAGGTCCACGTGCCTGAAGCAGCTCTGCAGCCTCGTTTGA